GCACGGGTACCATACTAGTTAATTTATTAAGCAAGTAAAGACGCAAAGCAAGAAAATTTAATTATCCAGCAATTTAGGGTAATATATAGTTATTTTCTTTATTAAACATGATTTTTAAAAATAAAACAACATCAGCCCCAGCCCCAAATAATAGGCAACATTCATGGTTTTGTTGAAAACCAAAATAACAAAATCCTTAATTAATGGTAGCATTTAATGCTACTTTTTTATTAAAAAAAAAAAAAGAAAAAGTTACTAAGAATGGAATGTAATTAATGCAAAATGATTTTGACCAAAATTTGACTTACTAATTTTGAAAAATGGTAAATTTTTTTATATATATATAGATAGGGACAATAGGCCTAACTTATAAGTTTAGTGGGTTACTTCTCCTTTCACCAATTGTTTTTGGAATGAAACCTCATTTGGGTTTCATCTGGGTTTTCTCTGTCTTGGTGCGTTTCATCAGCGTGGAACTGCACTCATTTTTCCTTGTGTTTCTTACATGGTATCAGAGTCGGTTCTATTGGGAGCGTGCGATGACGTACTCGTTTCCAGCCCATTTGGGCTTGGGCACCCGACTCCGTATATGGGCTTGGGCTTTCGTACGAAAGACTTACAAGTGAAGGGGCGTGTTAAAATATCACTTGTGTGCGTGAGACTGCACCCGATTTGCTCTTGTTTCTTACATTATACAATATTGTATTTAATGTGCTTCAATATTTGGCCTTTTTGGGAGCAATATATTGTACATCTTATTACAGGAGAATGCTACCATCTCGTTACGGGACGGTTCCGTTGTTTTTTAAACGTAGAGTATCTGCACATTACTAGATTACATATATATCTACCGCTACAAAAGACAATGAAACCATCTCGTAACGGATGGTAGCATTTCCCCTTATTACAATATCGCACATGTAGCTATTATATTAAGTTGATTAATGGTTAGACAATTATACTATTCTAATATATATACAATTTCAAATTCAAAATTTATATTTTAAAATATAAAATAAAAAAGTATGACAATATAATATAATAAAAATATGTCCTTTCTTTTCAAAAAAGTTAGACCGTCTAACGATTAACAGATTATTTCAAAATTTGTGATATTCCATTTGCTAATTTAATCCTCGTGCCTATTAAAAAGAAAATCTGAAATCATACTTAAGAATCAATAATATATAAATAAAAAAGTTTTTTTTTCATGATTAATATATAATACACAAGACATGAATGAAGGAAAACAAGTTTTGCTTGGCTTTGAATCTGTAGGGAAGCTATCTCAAGTTGGGTGGTGATGTAGGGAAATAAATACATTCTGTTTTGTAGAGAAAAGATATGTATTTATACAATAATTATATGCTAAATATTGCTTAGAGTTTAAGAAAAGACACTATATGGATTCTTGTTTGACCCGTATTTTAAGGCAATTAACCCGCCCCATTGTTTTACCCCCAATTAAATGTTACAATCTCTTTACATATTTATGGTTTTAAATTTTAGTTAAATATCGTGATCCAATTGTGTATTAATATTTCATATTTCCCTATGTATTTTAATTATGTTCTTCCAAGTGGGATACTTCATATATAATAAAGTTTTCGAACAGAGCCCCAATTAAGTAGATAGATTCGGGCGTGGAAAGACTCAGCCCAATTTGTTCTGGAATCACTCTTCACCTGTCCAAACCTTTTGAGATTTTGGGCTTTTCTAACTTGGACTTAACAACCTAATGGAGATGGGCTTGTAAGGCCATTTTCAAGTTAAAATAGTATTGGGCTGGGCTATCAAGAACATCATACTTCAGTTGACATTTGCGTTGACTGTTGCTCGGTTAGGGTAAAATAGGTACATAAGTAAATTTTTTTATTTATTATTTTTTTTTTTTTTTGACAAATTTAAATTGTATGGATACAAATACAACTATTTTGGTAAAGTATCAATTTTTGCTGACCTTGGATTAGAAGCCAGTTTTTTTCCTGTTTCCCTTGTATGAAATTGAAAGGAGAAAAAAGAATTGAGTTACGTCATATTTTTCAATATTTGAATAGACATATTTCATGGCAATACTCGATGTATGCGCTAAGTAAATTTGAGCAGATGTTGTAGAGATTAACTTTTTCTTTAATTTTATGTGGAACTTGATAATTTCAATTATCATTTTCTCAACAGTTTATCGTTGTAGGGATTTTCGTTTAAGTATATATAATTTCGGTTGGATTTTTTTTTTTCTTTTTGTCATGTTTGATCAGTTGGAAAAAGTGTTGTTCAAATCGTTAAAATCCAACAAAAATTTCAACTGAAAACTAATAATGGAATATTTTTTTTAAGAAATTTCGTTGAAAATATTGAGTGAGAGCATTGAAATATCAACTGAAATAGTGATTTTCATCATTTTCTTGCAGTGTATCATAATCAACTATTTAATTACACATCTCATAAAAATAAATTGGCTATAAAATATGGAATAAATCATTATTTTGTTTTATATAATAACAATAATAATAATAATAATAATAATAATAATAATAATAATAATAATAATAATAATAATAATAATAATAATAATAGAAAAATTTGGAGGTGTCATTTTATTAATTATTTCTAGGCAGGCCAGTCAGCGGTTTAGTCAACGAAAAGCAAGTACAATACAAGTACGAAAGGAGCAGAACAAGCATTGTCCGAAGGATGATTTCCCACTGCCAAGAATAGCATTCACCCTGCTTCGCCTAGCAGCACGACGCTTGTGTTGCTCTCTCACAACCCCGTCTTCCGAACGGGTTTGGCTTCGTGTTTTACAAACAGGAGCTTTCAAATTTGCTCTCGTGATTAAACGAAGAGCTATTGTCGTACATCCTCAGTATAGGTGAACAATATTGAAAAACCAAAAGATGCAATCAACAACGAATTTCACATCTTCTACATGTATATAGCTAGTAATTAATTAAGCTTTTCCCATCCTAGCTAGTAAAAATATATGTAAATAGTTACATTATTTGGGAATGTTAATTTTATGCATAATTATATATATGGTCATTATCAAGAGTAAATATTCTACAATACACATTTATTAGACCTCAACAACTTGAATCAATGCTGTACAAACCAGAAATTTCAGAATTGGGCACGTTAAAACAATTTTTCTCGATGACACGTGTATGAGAACTCATGAAAACTTTGATCTAAAACCAAAATTATTTATTGTATCGGCCCTCATCTTATAGGTCACTTTTGATTGGGATTGATATATATACATCCTCCCTATATATAATTGCAGAATGCGCTGAGCCTACGTGGCTGCTTCTGGTGCTTCGGAATCCTATTTGGCGAAAAATCATGCTTCGTAATTAGGTTTGGACAAAT